TGCTGCATGTCGCCGCTAGGCAATTAGCCTGCTAGCTTTAGCTATAGGGGCTGCACCCTGGTGCCGCCGACCCTCGCCACTTGGTCGTGATGCGCTGCCTAAATCCGGAACCTCTGCATCACCAGCTCGGGCTTGCGGTTTTGCTTGCCTGTGGGAAGCCCTCGCAAAACATCGCGTATATGCAGGGTTTATTTAGGCCATGTGGCTGACATCATCAGGGTCTGGGGTTGGGCCTGGGTGATGCTTCAGCGGGGCTTGGTCTGCATCATCAAGACCAGAGGTTAGGGTTCGAGGTTAGGGTTAGAGGTCAGGGTTAGAGGTTGGGGTGAGAAGTTAGAAGTTAAAGTTAGACGTGAGGATTAAAGGTTAGAGGTTAGGGTCAGGGGTTTAGGGTTAGAGTAGAGGTTAGGGTTAGAGCATGATGACGACGCTGATGATGATGATGATGATGATGATGATGACTTGACGACGATGATGACGATGATGATTATGCTGCTGCTTATGAATGATGCTGATGATGAGGATGGTGATGATGATGATGGATGATGAGGATGATGATGATGATGATGATGATGATGATGGATGATGAGGATGATGCTGATGATGAGGATGCTGATGATATGGATGATGGCAGGTTCTGCGTGCCGCGCAGACGTAACATTGCCCCAGACACTTGCAGGACGATGCTGGCGAAGCTGGGAACATTCGAAGACCAAAAAGGCAGCTCCTGCATCCCCAACATGCAAAGAATCACCCCGGGCACCTGCAGGATGATGCTGGTGAAGCGGGGGATGCAAAAGTTTTGAAGGTTAAAAAGACAGCTCCCACATCCCCGGCATGCAAAGCATCATCCCGGGCACCTGCAGGAGGATGCTGGCGAAGCTGGGGATGCAAAAGCTGCCTTTTCTACAACTATCGAAGACCAAAAAGGCAGCCCCCGCATCCCCAGCCTGCAAAGCATCGCCCCAGGCACCTGCACAATGATGAGGATGATGCTGGGGATGATGAGGCTGATGATGATGGCGATGACGATGATGATGCTGAAGAATGATGCTGAGGATGATGATGCCGATGATGATGATGATGATGAGGATGATGATGCTGGATGGCGAGGATGATGATGACGCCGCTGATGATAATGATGATGAGGATGATGACGATCATGCTGCTGATGCTGATGAATGAGGATGTCATCCATCATCATCCGCATTATCATCATCATCCTCATCTTCATTCAGCATCATCATCATCGTCATCCTCATCCTCATCATCATCCTCATCATCATGCAGCAGCCTCATCATCATCATCATCATCACCGTCATCACCATCATCAGCGGCGTTATCATCATCATCATCATCGGCATCATCATCATCATCATTCTTCATCATCATCATCCTCTTCATCATCCTCAGCATCATCATCATGATAATCCGTCATCGCCATCATCGTCATCATCCTGAGCATCACCAGCATCAATATCATCATCATTAACACCATTATCATTCATTATCATTATCATCACCATCATTAGCATCGTCATCATTGTCATCACCATCATCGTCACCGTAATCATCATCATCATCACCATTATCATCATCATCATCCATCATCACCAACGCCATTATTCATCTTTGATCATCATCATTCATCATCCTGAGCATCATCATGAGTCATCATTCTCATCATCATCATCATTCATCATCACTTATCATCACCATCAGCATCTTCATCAGCATCGTCATCATCGTCATCAATCATCATCATCATCATCACCCATCATCATCATCATCATCCAACATCGCCATTGTCGTCATCATCCTGAGCATCATCAGCATCATCATCAGCATCATTAACATCATCATCATCATCATGATCATGCATCATCATTATCAGCACCATCATCATCATCATTCATCTTCATCATCGGCATCATCATCACCATCATCACCACCACCACCATCCATCATCATCATCAACAGTGGCATCGTCATCCATCATCATCAACAACATCATCATCATCATCAACGTCATCGGCGTCATCGGCATCATTAATCATCATCACCATCATCATCATCTTCATCCTCATTCATCATCATTCATCATCATTATCATCATCATCATCAATCATCATCATCATCATCCTCATCCATCATCGTCATCAGATCATCGTCATCATCCTGAGCATCATCAGCATCATCAGCATCATCATCATTAACATCATCATCATTCATCAACATTATCATCGCCATCATCATCATCATCACCACCGTCATCATCATCATCACCCTCATCATCATTACCATTATCATCATCATCATCATCATCATTATCGGCAGCGTCATCATCACCATCATCGTTAATCATCATCATTATCGTCTTCGTCATCATCAGGGTTGGAGGTTAGGGTTAGAGGGTGAGGCTAGAGGACCGTTTTTACCGTTTTTACCGCCCCACAAGTGTTCCCGTCATCTTCCCGTAGTCTTCCGTCATCTTCGTGTAGTCTTCCGTCATCTTCCCGTAGTCTTCCGTCATCTTCCCGTAGTCTTCCGTCAGCTTCCCATAGTCTTCCGTCATCTTCCCGTTGTCTTCCGTCATCTTCCCGTAGTCTTCCGTCATCTTCCTGTTGTCTTCCGTCATCTTTCCTTAGTCTTCCGTCATCAAAACCGTAGAGGTTAGAGGTTAGGGTTAGGGGGGTTAGGGTTACAGGTTAGGGCTAGAGGTTAGGGTAGGGTTAAAGGTGAGGGGTTAGGGTCATCTTCCCGTACTCTTGCGTCATCTTCGCGTCATCTTCCCGTAGTCTTCCGTCATCTTCCCGTAGTCTTCCGTCATCTTCCCGTAGTCCCCGTAGTCTTCCGTCAGCTTCCCGTCATCTTCCCGTAGTCTTCCGTCATCTTCCCGTAGTCTTCCGTCATCTTCCCGTACTCTTCCGTCATCTTCCCGTAGTCTTCCGTCATCTTCCTGTAGAGGTTAGAGGTTAGGGGTTAGGGCTAGGGGTTAAGGTTAGAGGTTAGGGTTGGAGGTTTAGAGGTTAGGGGTCTTCCCGTAGTCTTCCGTCAGCTTCCCGTCATCTTCTCGTAGTCTTCCGTCATCTTCCTGTAGTCTTCCGTCATCTTCCCTTAGTCTTCTGTCATCTTCCCGTAGTCTTCCGTCATCTTCCCGTAGTCTTCCGTCATCTTCCCGTAGTCTTCTATCATCTTCCCGTAGTCTTCCGTCAGCTTCCCGTGGTCTCTTCCCGTCAGCTTCCCGTTGTCTTCCGTCATCTTCCCGTCCTTCCCGTCGTCTTCCGTCTTCTTCCCGTCCTCTTCCGTCATTTTTCCGTGGTCTTCCGCCATCTTCCCGTTGGGGTTAGTGGTTAGGGTTAGGGGTGAGGGTTGGAGGTTAGGGTTAGAGGTTAAGGTTAGAGGTTAGGGTTCGGTTAGGGTTAGAGGTTAGGTTTAGACGTTAGGGTTAGAGGTAAGAGGTTAGGGTTAGAGGTTAGGATAAGAGGTCAGGGTTAGAGGTGAGGGGTTGGGGTCATCTTCCCGTAGTGTTCCGTCATCTTCCCGTCATCTTCCCGCAGTCTTCCGTCATTTTTTCGTAGTCTTCTGTCATCTGCCGTCATCTTCCCGTAGTCTTCCGTCATCTTCCTGTATCTTCCCGTAGTCTTCCGTCATCATCCCGTTGTCTTCCGTCATCTTCCCGTACTCTTCCATCAGCTTCCGTCGTCTTCCCGTAGTCTTCCGTCATCTTCCCGTAGTCTTCCGTCAGCTTCCCATCATCTTCCCATAGTCTTCCGTTAAGGTTAGAGGTTAGGGTTAGAGGTCAGGCGTGGGCTTCTGTCACCTTCCCGTAGTCTTCCGTCATCTTCTGGTCTTCCGTCATTTCCCGTCGTCCTCCGTCATCTTTCCGTAGACTTCCGTCATCTTCCCATAGTCCTCCATCATCTTCCGTCATCTTGCCGTCAGCTTCCCGTAGTCTTCCGTCATATTCCCGCAGTGTTCCGTCATCTTCCCGTAGTCTTCCGTCATCTTCCCGTAGTCTTCCGTCATCTTCCCGTAGTCTGCCGTCATCTTCTCGTAGTCTTCCGTCATCTTCCCGTAGTCTTCCGTCATCTTCCCGCAGTCTTCCGTCATCTTCCCGTAGATTAGGGTTTAGGGTTAGAGGTTAGAGGTTAGGGTTAGAGGTCAGGGTCAGGGGTTAGAGGTTAGGGTTAGAGGTTAGGGCTAGAGGTTAAGGTTAGAAGTTAAGGTTAGAGGTTAGGGTTAGAGGTCAAGGTTAGAGGTTAGAGGTTAGGGGCATCCATCATCATCCTCATTATCATCATCATCCTCATCATCCATCATCATCATCATTATCATCATCATCATCATCATCATCGCATCATTATCATCATCATCGTCGGCGTCATCATCATCCTCATCATCATCGGCATCATCAGCATGAGCATCATCATCGTCATCATCATCATCATCATCATCCACCCTCACGGTTAGAGGTTAATGTTAGAGGTTAGGGTTAGAGGTTAGGGTTAGAGAGGTTAGGGTTAGAGGTTAGGGTTAGAGGTTAGGGTTAGAGGCTAGGGTTAGAGGTTAGTTAGGGTTAGAGGTCAGGGCTAGAGGTTAGGTTTAGACGTTAGGGTTAGAGGTTAGGGTTAGAGGTTCGGATTAGAGGTCAGGGTCAAGGTTCAGGGTTGGAGGTTAGGGTTGGAGGTTAGGGTTAGAGGTTAGGGTTAGGCGTCAAAAATCCGCCGGGACCCCCCCTCCCGCCCTCAGCCTCCCTCTAACCACCACTTAGAACTCGCCTCCGCTTTGCAGAGACCAACTTGGCTTTTGCAAAGGGGTCGGCGGATTCGTGCCTCAAATTGAGTGTGTCTCAAATTTGACTGTCCCGAAGGTGGACGATGTCCAAGTGGTTTCTCTTCTCGCCCCACAAATGATCCTTCGGTTTCCAACCCCCAACACAACCCCAACAAGGGAAACCCAAAAAGACGAGCCACCAAAAAAAGCGTTCCCAGCCCTGAGACTGGCGGGGGACTGCCCATCCACCTCTACTCGGTGGCGGACGCAGCCTTCAGAGACGCCTGGCTGATGAAAGGGCTCTACCTGTCTAGGTCCCCCAGCGTTCCCTACTAAAATAGACTACAGATTTAGGGTACCCTCATTCTAACCTCTCTGCTGGAGGACCTAGCTGTGGAATGTTTCATTTTTCTGTGGAGGGAGTCTTGTTCATACTCTACAGGTTCTCGCCTCCTTTCCGGTTAATGTAGGGGTTCTCCCTGACTGCCAGCAGAAAGAAGCAGGTGTAACGGCCGCTGAACAGTCGTTATGCCCATTCCCGTTTTAGAGCCGAATGGTTCCCCACTCAAAACCAACATCTGCAACCATCTCTGCAGGTTCATCGCGTACCAGCAACATGTGTCCTGGTCAAAAGGCCTCGTACTTGGGCTCCGTAGGCGCGGCAACAGCCCCAAGAGAGCCAAAACCTTGGCCACACAACCCTGGAGTTCTGACTACACAGCTACATCCTATGGCAAACGGGGTGCAACCAGTGAGCTTCTGCAAAGGCAAAGCGGGGTGTTTGAAAGGCCATTGTTTGCCAGTGGATGTCAGTTGCCACTGCAGTACGTAACCAGATATGTCCCTTTTGCCTTGGATACCGGCCATACTCTGAAATCACTGGGATTCTTTTGGCATTTACCTGCATTGGTCCCCACTGCGCATTGCAAAGTCTGAGCTCAAGAGAATTCGGGATCAGAAATGGGGCTCGCGGCTTTTTTTCGCTTGTTCCGCAAGTTGATAAGACAGGGGTCCCTGCATTTCTTTTTTGGTGGTGTGAAGGCCCTAAGCTGAGTTCAGATGGGGTCTTTCGAGGGGAAGCTGACAATCGAGTAGTCTTTTCCTTCGGTGCCGTGGTCTCAGTTCAGAGTTAGGATCTGCGGTTCGTTGATTCGGTCTGTGGCCTTGGTGTGGAACGAAGCTGTTCAACTGGCGTTCAATGCAGTTGCGATGTTGTATGGTGCTTGGCATGATCAACGTCAGATTGGCGGGCACTGTGGAATTGAAGATCCGGAAGATTGCAGCCCACCAGTTGTATTGGGGGCGATGCGACTTACTAGGCAAGCCTGCGAGTAGTTGGTGTCAGGTTGGTCCCCTTTCGAATCATCCCAGAAGTGATCCTTCTTTCTACAGTGGCGCTTGCGCTCACCTGTCATCTTCTTTAGCCTCGAATTCAAAGAGAGTCTCTCCATATGGACAAATCAATACCAGCTCACCCAAGAAGGCGAAGTCACCCATAAGGGTGCCTGGGATCGCAAATCCTTTCTTCAGGTTTGTGAATTGCAGTAAGTTGCCAGACGTGGCTTGGATCATCGTTTTCTTCAGCCCTCAACGTGTTGTCTATTAGACGGGCCCATGTCTCTAGCGATGGCTAGCATCATGTTTGCTGATTCCCAATCAATTTGCGCTCGGCGGCCTCCTGTGTTTGCAGCATATTGCATTGGGAATAATATGTACATGTATATAATACATAGTATATTATGTATACTTATAATAGGTATACGGTATACCATACATATATATATATATATATGTATATACACACACACCTAGATATACACTCGTCCACTTTGCATGGATACTATGTACATGTATATGATTGTGCATTCTCATTCACAGATGTCTCGTTCTTCGCACCTTCAACACTAGACTCTGGAAAGCTCACCAAGGCCATGCTGTCAGAGAAGGCCAACCAGTCCATCATCATCTCAGGCCATAAACTGTTGGAGCGGATGGCTAGGCTGCATCCTTCCCTTGGGTTGCGAACGGGGTTCTCTGTGTAGTGATTCACCGTGGGTTTCGAATTCAGGTTGGGCGCACCTTCATTTTGAGCGTCGTATGTATAGGTTGAGGGTGGCTTATGGACGGCCGTCACCCTCACATCCTGCTTCCGCTGCTAGTTGGCTTGATTTGAGCGGCTTAGGATTTCTCATGTTGTACAGAGGAGTTGGGCTTCAGAAGGCAAAGGTGTCAAGTTTTAGAGTATGAGAGGTGATAGAAGTTGTAGCAGCTTGAGAGATTCACAGTTTTGGCCGATTGGCGTATTTAGGGTTTGGGGTCTTGGGTTCGAGGGTTCTTCCTGAGTGTGTAATATAGTGTTGGTTGGAAGCTGCATGGGGTTCATAGTGTTAGGTGTACACATGAAGACAATCATACCGGCCGTTCAAGTGCCACCCATATACATTCCCATGCGACCCCAAGCTCCATTCCCCGCTAACAAGTTCCCAACTTGTGGCTGACCGACCAAGTGCACTGCAAACCTATCCGCTTGCCAGCCCTCCTTCACCATTTTTCCCTCTATGTTCCGCCAAGTGTTTTCCACCTGAATTTTGCCATCCAAGCACCAGGGACCCTCCCCATGGTTCCTTTGTGCGTACAAAAGAAACAATGGAAGGAAGCCCGTTGGTCTCAAATTAGCACCCTCGGGATATTTCCCTCAGTTTTCTTTCAAAAGAAATCAAAGTGGTTTCACTCCAAAAGCAATCAACATGAATCCCCTTCAAAACCAAGCGAATCACTTCCCCTTCAGCAGCATTCAAGTCGGTGCCCAGTGAGAACCCATTAACGTGGAATCCCTTCAAAACCTAACAAAAAGGTTCCCCTTCAAACCCAACCAGATCAGTTCTCCTTGCACACCAACCATCACAGGGATCTCACCCACCAGATATCGAATCCATTCAAGCGCCAGGCGAGAGCGGGGCCGGGAAGACGGAGGCGACCAAGCGGATGTTGGCGTACCTGGCGGAGCTTCAGAGCTCCAAGCATGAGTCAGGAGGGGAAGGGAAAGACACGCGAGTCCGAAAATGCAGGTTTCATTCGTTTAGGATTTTAGGTTAGGTTAGGTTTACTGTAACATTTGAGGCGTTCTTTGCGTTGCGTCTTGCGTTGTATTGTGCTTCTCAAGCATGTTCAAGGAGTGGCTTCCGTTGTTGCATCAACCAGCGCAAGAGGCTCCAGCCCGTTTTGAGGAAGGGGTTGGCGGTTGGGGTGAGGCTCGGAGGAATTTGGAGGAGCAGAGGGCATGGCAGTGGTGTGCCGAGGGCATGCAAAGAGGGGGTTGGGGGTGGGGGAAGGATGTATGCACAAATTGGAGAGGGTGTTTCATACAGGCTCAAGTGTTTGGTGACATGTGAGCTTGTTTGCGCGGATAAGTGAAGCCTCCAGAAATTAGTTGGATTTTACCTTGTTCCACGCCCCATCTACATCTCGTCCCTTCCGCTGCCAAGTAATTCAGGCTTCTCCAAAATGAGGATGCATTTATGCTTTCCTCCTTTTAAAGGGGAAACAAATGATTGGGCAACCTTCTGTAACCCCCTCTCAAACGAAGAAACAACAACTAAAATGGCAGTACAGATGCACCAAATCCCTGCAATCGCTGGCAGGTGTGTCTCTTTTTCCGGGGCAGTTTTCCACAGGGTTTCATCCATTCCAACTGCCGCTCGGGGATCCGTGGGTTTGGTCCAAGTGACGATCAGTGGGAGTTCCAGGAGGCCGGCGCTCGGTGGAGTCGCAAGTGCTGGATGCCAACCCTGTGCTCGAGGCCTTTGGCAACGCCAAGACGGCGCGGGTCTTGGCGACTTCTTATGTCAGCCCAAAGGGGTACCAATGAGTACCCTTAGCTTTGAAGCACCTCAAAGAGGGTCTCCTAACACGGAGTTTTCCCGTGCAGGTGATGTTTACAGGAGAAATGCATTAAGAAACACTGCGTGGTTTCCTTTGGTTTCCTCCTGGGTATTCTCAAGAATGCAGACACCCCTTCTTTGGTCCGGGTGACCCGGATCGACCGGGATTGGGACTTCTTACGACCTTCGGCTCTTTACCTCACAACCTTCGGCAACGTGGATTCCTTTCCAAATTGTCCACTGCATTAGTCGGTGATCAAGTCTTCCGAGGTGTAAGCGGTCCGGTCAGGTTGATTTTTGGATGTTTGGTCCATAGAAGTACCATTGATGCTTCACAAGCTGATCTCAATTACCACTGTACCAGCCATTTTCCTCCGTTGCGTGGGGAAACTCCTTGGTTGCTTGCTCAGGGAGGCAGAATTAATTCCTGGAGTTGGCGTGAGCCTCTAGGAAGTTCATCAAGCAGGGCGGCAAACATTCGTTGCTTTCTTTGATTCCCTTTCGGCGCAACGCGTTTCAACCCCTTTCGGGTCTGAGCAACCCTTCCCACGACATGTTTGAGACACCTTTGCATGGCCGGAGGCGGCTCAATAGCGCTACATTGTTACATGATACATGTGTCAAAGTAGGGATTTGGACCCCCATCGGTTTCCTTGAAAGCCACCCCAACAATGCGTACCTCATAACGATACACACCCAGATCTAGACTTGAATGGTTTTGGGGTGAATTCTTTTGAGTCACCCGCGGTGTTTAGTTAGTTGTTGGATGCTTGGCGGCTTTGAGTCGGCAGGGTTCTCAAACTCCCAATGACCACCTTTGGCTTCCTTCGGATTCCTTCAGTTTTCCTTGGTCCATTTGTTTTCCTTTGGTTTCCTTTGTTTTTCGTTAAGTAGCTTCCTTTGGTTTCCTTAATTAGTTTCCTCTAGTTTCCTTTGATTGGTTCCTTTGGTTGCATTTCATTAGCTTCCTTTGGTGTTGGTTTCTTTAGGCTTCCTCAAGTTTCCTTTAGTGTCCTTTAGTTTTCTAGAGTTTTCTAGAGTTCTCCGTAGTTTCCAGTGGTTTCCCGTTGGCTTCCTTGAGTTCGTTTGGTTTCCTTTGGCTTTCAATGGTTTCCTTTCCTTAGGTGTCTTATCATTCTGTTCTGTTGCGGCTGATCAGGTCTTCGGCATTCCCCCTGTTTCGAGACGCTGGTGTTGCGTCAACGCCCGCGTGGCTTGAGCCGATGCCGTGAGGTCCGGAACGACAACTCCTCGCGCTTCGGCAAGTTCATCGAGGTGGAGTTCGACACTTCGGGGAAGCTGCTCAGCGCCCAGACCCTCGGACGCCCAAGCCGGGAGGCTACGGGAGAAGGGATGGGTCTTGTGACCTTCGTTCGTTAAACGCAAAACATCTGAAGGGAGCACTGCCAGTTTGTGGGGTGATCCTATTTTGAGACAAACCCGTGATACGTCCGGCCAAACTGTGTCGCGTGAAGCGTTGTAATTGGTGAGGTGTTGCCAAAGTGAGTTGGACGCCTTTTTTGAACTTGGGGAAAACGTGGCGGGCCACCATGAACTCCAGATACCAAAAAGGGTCATGGGAGCACGCCCATTCGTCCTCTGAAGTTTCTGGCTGTGTGGTCGAGGGACCAAAGCTTTCTTTCTGTCGCATAGCCAAACTAGGACAAATTAGAGGAGAAACCAGACGGAGGTGTTTTGCGGATTCCTTTGTGCAACCCCAAAAAGGGTTTGCCCGGGCCCAAGCCCAAAGTCTCTTGTGGGCTTGGATCTGAGTGGGGCTTTTTCCCCAAACAGTTTACTGTGAGGGGTTCTAAATTCATTTAAGGTGGCTCGCCTGTTGCCAAGCCCTAGCCTGGATGCCTGGCACAGCTCTCTGGGTGGACGGGTTCATTTGTCTCCCTGTGTCTCCCTTCATTTGTCTCCCGTTGTCTCACCGCCTGGATGCCTGGCACGGCTCTCTGGGTGGACGCGTTCGTTTGTCTCCCTGGGTTCACTTGTCTCCCTTTGTCTCCCTTCATTTGTCTCCCGTTGTCTCCCAGCCTGGATGATCCAGTCTGGGTGGACGGGTTCATTTGTCTCCCTTTGATGCCTGGCACGGCTCTCTGGGTGGACGGGTTCTCCCTTCATTTGTCTCCCAGCCTGGATGCCTGGCGCGGCTCGGGTTCATTTGTCTCCCTTTGTCTCCCTTCATTTGTCTCCCGTTGTCTCCCAGCCTGGATGCCTGGGTGGACAGATTCACTTGTCTCCCTATGTCTCCCTTCATTTGTCGCCCGTTGTCTCCCAGCCTGGATCTGGCACGGCTCTCTGGGTGGACGGGTTCATGTGTCTCCCTTTGTCCCCTTCATTTGTCTCCCGTTCTCTCCCAGCCTGGATGCCTGGCACGGCTCTCTGGGTGGACGGGTTCATTTGTCTCCCTTTTTCTCCCTTGATTTCTCCCGTTGTCTCCCAGCCTGGATGCCTGGCACGGCTCTCTGGGTGGACGGGTTCATTTGTCTCCCTTTGTCTCCCTTCATTTGTCTCCCGTTGTCTTCCAGCCTGGATGCCTGGCGCGGCTCTCTGGGTGGACGGGTTCATTTGTCTACCTTTGTCTCCCAGGATGTCTGGCACCCCTTTGTTTCCCTTCATTTGTCTCCCGTTGTCTCCCAGCCTGGATGCCTGGCACTTGTTTTTTTGGTGGACAGATTCACTTTTCTCCCTTTGTCTCCCTTCATTTGGCTCCTGTTGTCTCCCAGCCTGGATGTCTGTCACGGCTCTCCAGGCGGACGGATTCACTTGTCTCCCTTGGTTCCCCTTCATTTGTCTCCCATCTCTGTGGGTGGACGGATTCATTTGTTTCCCTTTTATTTGTCTCCCGTTGTCTCCCAGCCTGGATGCCTGGCACGGCTCTCTGGGTGGACGGATTCATTTGTCTCCCGTTGTCTCCCAGCCTGGATGTGTGGCACTCACGCTCCGCGGTTTCCTTCACTTCCCGCGGTTCTGTCCTTTTGGCGGGGGCTGGTTTGCCTTCGGCTTTGGCCCTGGCTTCGGTCATTCCTTGTCTTGTGGATGTTGGGGACAGGGTCCTCCTCTGTCTGCCCTTCATCTGGACTTCGATTTCGCTTGGGCTCGTGGTGGGTCGTCTTCCTTGTCTATCGTTGGCTACACCCCGTCTGTTCGTTCAGTGCCTCGTTATCAGTTGCGGTCCCGAGCTGACGATAGCGGTGCGCTGCGGTGCACGGCTTCAGCTACGAGAAGGCTCTGTTAACCCCCCGGTAAAACAAACGTGAATCACGCTGGAGTTAAATCCTCTATCGATTCTTCGAGGATGTTCAACGAACCTTACGCTGAGATACCCAGTGGTGCTCTTGGCACCTGGGGTTGTCCCGGCTCTCCCGGCGGACGGGTTCATTTTTCTCCCTCTCCCTCCATTTGCCTGACGGATTCATTTGTCTCCCTTTGTCTCCCTTTATTTGGCCCCGGTTGTCTCCCAGCCTGGACGCCTGTCACGGCTCTCTGGGGTGGAGGGGTTCATTTGTCTCCCTTTGTCTCCCTTCATTTGTCTCCCGTTGTCTCCCAGCCTGGATGCCTGGCACGGGGTGGACGGGTTCATTTGTCACCCTTTGTCTCCCTTCATTTGTCTCCCGTTGCCTCCCAGCCTGGATGCCTGGCACGGCTCTCTGGGTGGACGGGTTCATTTGTCTCCCTTTGTCTCCCTTCATTTGTCTGGCACGGCTCTCTGGGCTTTGTTTCCCTTCAATTGTCTCCCGTTGTCTCCCAGCCTGGATGTCTGGCACGGCTCTCCAGGCGGACAGATTCACTTGTCTCCCTTTGTCTCCCTTCATTTGTCTCCCGTTGTCTCCCAGCCTGGATGCCTGGCACGGCTCTTTGGGTGGACAGTTTCACTTGTCTCCCTTTGTCTCCCTTCATTTGGCTCCCCGTTGTCTCCCAGCCTGGATGTCTGTCACGGCTCTCCAGGCGGACGGATTCACTTGTCTCCCTTGGTTCCCCTTCATTTGTCTCCCATCTCGTGGGTGGACGGATTGATTTGTCTCCCTTTGTCTCCCTTTATTTGTCTCCCGTTGTCTCCCAGCCTGGATGCCTCTCTGGGTGGACGAATTCATTTGTCTCCCTTTGTCTCCCTTTGTTTGTCTCCCGTTGTCTCCCAGCCTGGATGCCCCTCTGGGTGGACGGATTCATTTGTCTCCCGTTGTCTCCCAGCCTGGATGTGTGGCACTCACGCTCCGCGGTTTCCTTCACTTCCCGCGGTTCTGTCTTTTTGGCGGGGTTTGGTTTGCCTTCGGCTTCGGCCCTGGCTTCGGTCATTCCTTGTCTTGTGGATGTTGGGGACAGGGTCCTCTGTCTGCCCTTCATCTGGACTTCGATTTTGCTTGGGCTCGTGGTGGGTCGTCTTCCTTGTCTATCGTTGGCTACACCCTGTCTGTTCGTTCAGTGCCTCGTTATCAGTTGCGGCCTCTCTCTGTCCTTGCTCGCAGTTGGAGTCCCGAGCTGACGAGAGCGGTGCGCTGCGGTGCACGGCTTCAGCTACGAGAAGGCTCTGTTAACCCCCCGGTGAAACAAACGTGAATCACGCTGGTGTTAAATCGTCTATCGATTCTTTGATGATGTTCAACGAACCTACGCCGAGATACCCAGTGGTGCTCTTGGCACCTGGGGTTGTCCCGGCTCTCCCGGCGGACGGGTTCCTCTCCCTTCATTTGCCTGACAGATTCATTTGTCTCCCTTTGTCTCCCTTTGTTTGGCCCCGGTTGTCTCCCAGCCTGGATGCCTGTCACGGCTCTCTGGGTGGACGGATTCGTTTGTCTCCCAGCTTGGATGTCTGGCACGGCTCTCCGGGCGGACGGGTTCATTTGTCTCCCTTTGTCTCCTTCTTGTTGTCCCCCAGCCTGGATGCCTGGCACGGCTCCCTGGTCATACGCGGTGTATTCCGCGGGCACGCATGTGTGTTTGAGGCTCAGAAACGTGTGTTTGAGCGCGCGCGTGCGCTTGATCAAGCCACAGGCAGCATGCTGCGGATGCACGTACGAGTGCTTCAAGTAAATGATTGTGTGTTCTTGGTGTGTTCCAGCTGGCCACATCGGCGCGTTCCAAGTGAACACGCACTTTTTGCATGTGACCACATGAGTGTGTTCCACGTCAGCACATGTTTGTGTTCCAGGTGAAAGCATGCGATTGTTCTGATAAAACACATATGCGATCCGGTCAAAATTCCTAGTAAGGGGGTTTAGTCTACATAGGCCACCGTCGCAGTCACTTTGTGCAGTTTTTCATTCACACAAAGCGGAGTCCTGCAAATACCAATGGATTGCCCGCTCCCCACTGTAGGCGCTAGGATGGCGCTTGGTTTGCGCTAGGGTCTTCGGTGATCTTGGTTTCCAAGAGTTGGCGCGTGGGTTGCCCCGATGGGCTTTGCGTGGCTTTCAAGGGTGTAATGTTGCAGTTCTTACTTAGTACTTGAAGCCAGCCCGCACGTTTACCTTCATCTTACGTGGCCTTAATTTGTCAAATCCACACAGAAGGTCGCCGTGACTCCAAAAAATACGGCGAACCCGCGCTAGCCGCGCGCTAGCAAGGCGCTAGCGCAGTGGTCAGCTGTGACCGGTTCCCAGTTACGCTTCAATCAAAATTTGCTTCCGCTCTCCTCGCATGCAATTATCATGGAGTGCGATTTGCTGGACAAAGGGGAGAAACAACGGCTGAGGCAAGACGGCAGGGATGCCTTGTACCGAGCATACGGAAGAATTGGGTTGCGTATTTCCCTGCGAAAGCAGCAAATGCTTTACTGAATCGATACGAAGAGTTGCCACAATACGATCAAAGCACTTTAGCAATCGATACGAAAGACACTGTGCAGCTAAGCGAGAAAGAAGCGCAATGCGCCGGAAAGCTTTTGCTAAGCTGAAGCCTGTAACTGCTGGAGACGCATCCGACACTGATAGTACTAGCAGTAGTAGCAGCAGCAGCAGCAGCAGGCTCGCGCGCTAGCAATGTGTTGCAAAAAAGCTAGATTCATCGTACACGAACACTATTTTCCTACTTGGAACACGCATATAAAACACAAGCGTTGTTCAAGGCAGAGCCCCATGGAATAGCGCCTCACAGCCGGCTTCGGGAACTTGATTTATGTGTCGCCCAGGCGTGCAGGAAATGTAAATTCCATGTGTACACATTTTTGTTGTCCAGGTGAACGCATGTGTGTTGCACATTTGTGTTGCACATGTTTCTCCACATGTGCACACACGTGTGTTCCATGTGTACACATATGTGTGTTACAAGTCAACACAGAAGTTTGTTCTGGTTAAACATGCGTGTGTGATCCAGGTCTGCACCAGTGTCGCACGTGAACACAAATGCCTGTTCCAAGTGAGCGCATATATGGGTTC